TCTAAACTTGGAGCAATATACCGTATCCGTTTTTCTAGGTGTTTAAAAACTTATCAATTCGATTTAAGTTTGATAAATTTTGCGTTAGTCCCTTTTTTTCCGCTGAGTTTCAGATTTGCTCACTAACAGGATTCCTAAAGTTATATTTAATAGCTGTTTTCTTCTAAGCTGGTGTTATCTTGAGTTTCATAATATACCTTATTCTTCAATAACACAAATCTTTCATCTCTAAGCCACATTCATCTTTTTCAGTTCACAAACGGTATAGTTTCCTAAAACAAACAAAGGAGAAAGGGGAGCAAATGTCTACAGCGAGACTCTTCTAGAGAAATTCTTGGAGGACTAATCTACAAAAGTAGCACAGATGGAAAATAATGATGTTTCGAAAGAGTTCCGTCTTTCGTCTTCAGGTTCCTGGAGTACTTTCACCACACTCAAACTATTACACCTAGATTCCAAGCTATAGTTGCTATTTATATTTGAGTTTTCTTGCTGAGGAGATGTATGAGACCGCGGGGAGACTAAAACCATATTGTATTTTCCAAAGCTGTAAAGGTTACAATGAATATAAACTCTTATTGATATTTCTATTTGTGTTTCCTAAATTAAGTTAAATTTATTGGTCGTAATTTCGATAAATCTCTCAGTTGGTCACTTGCACCTATATTATTTCTACGTCCAATAAACAAATAAAATATAGAAAAACTTCCACTTGAAATGAGCTTATTCTAATCTTTTCTTATCTATTTTTTGCTCATACTGGGTGGTGTAAGTTCACGATATGCATTGGTTCAAGTTTGTGAGCGTATTTGGTGTAGCACAAACATCTAGACAATGTTGCACGTTCAGTGCTAGTTACTGTCTCCTTCTCCATTACTTCTTTTCACACACATTTTTTGATTTACCTCATAATTCTATTCATATTCAAAGTTTAAACATTTGGGAGAAACTCCAATGTCACTCACGACACATACTGACCTTCTCCTGTATGTTATTTCTGTTCCTGTTCCTTCTTTACCTTTAAATGTTACGTTAGTTTCATCAATATAGGACCAAAGGAAGTGTGGTAAACACCCTAAGTGACATGATTCTTACTCTATACTCTGCCTTATTTCTTCTTCTTTCTTGTTATAATGACACCTTTTCAGAGAATTTTAAGGTTACAGAAAATAGATGCATTTGTATTCACTTTGCTTCTCCTTTCCTGCTTATGTATTGCCTGTTGCTTTAACATCAGCTCCTTTTTTACCAGAAAGTAGTATTTTTCTACAATAGTTACGTCTTTATTTCTATGCTCATTCCTTGTCATTTAGTTCGTATTATTTTCTGTCTAATCATGTTCTAGTCTTTTTCTTTAATGTTAGCTTCACTAATAATATTGGTTACAATGTTAGAATTCTCGCGCAAAACCGTCCGTGATTTTGAACTGATAGACTAAAGGTATGCCAGCTAGTCATCAGTCCCTGCCACCAACTCTTGAGCTGATAAAATAATGGGATTTGACTGCCTCTCTTATAACGCATCTATAGCACCAGGATATCAAAAGATATTTTTCAGTAAAGAGACACGAAACATTAACTAGTTAAATGTTTAAAATATATTTATTTTAATTATTTTTGATTTATTGATTATGAATATGTATTTTTAGTACGAACATTATTTTGCATTGTCAGCTTAAGACTTAAAACTGAAGCTGGCCGAACTGAGATATTATTAGGATTGCGGCCAAAAATATTAGTAACAGCAAGGATATCCAAATGATGAATCAATTCAATCTAATCATTATAGGTTATTGGTTCATCACATTGCATACTTCTAGTTAGATGAAATTTTATCAATTAGCTACGTTAGTTAAAGTGTTGAGTTTTACTTCTTATCTATATAGGTAACTTACCTTCGAAATAATTTATTAGTAATATGTTTCATTCTTTTTATTTCAATTTTTTTCTCTTGTTTCATGTTTTTAAACATTTAGTTATTACTTTTTAACAGTTTTGATTAACGGTTCTTTCAAGGACTTTTCTTGTTCTCGCACATATCAAACATCTTTCTTAAGACTATTCAAATGTCGAAAAGTTTCTTCGGGAATTTTTTCTTTGCCAATTACGCACACTTGTCTCAGTCTTTTTTTTTTTTGAAATTTCTTTTCACCATGACTTCTGTCAACGGAATTTCATCTTTCATCATGGATAGTATTTCACGAAATATGTCTTCATTGGGGAGTCCTGCTTTATCGTGAATGCTGAACTCTCAATACAGTTGAAAGTTTTAAAAGTTCGCCATCTGCACATCTGTGATGACTTTGTTCAGCCAATTTCCTGCCATCACTTTTATCACCTGATCAGACTTATCATCTGCCAGCTAGACAATTTATGGTAACTAACTAACTTTTTGTTTTTCCTGGGTTTGGTACCAGCCCTATACTTCTCACATGTCAGGCGAGTTCTCTATGAATTGAACTAAAGGAGTAAACCATATAGTAAGACACTTTTTTAATATTTATAACTACAACATTCTTCCCCTTTTACAAATATGCCTTATTCTCTAGTCTAATCTCAAGGAACTGATACAGTTCTACGTTGTGAACCAGTTTTTGTAGGGTAACCTTTTTTTGTTTCTCGTCTCGAACGCAAATTTTTTGCACGCTAGTCAAGGGCTTTACCACCTGAGCTAAAGAGGTAGCTACGAGTAATCGTTAGTAAGGCATTTTTTAACAATCAAGCTACCACATTCATATTCTCTCACATCCTAGGACCTCACTAGAAGCTCATGAAATGATCCAACGTTCGGAGCTGCATTTTCTTAAGGTAATCTAACTTTATATATCTCCTTGGCTCAGTATTAGACCCGAGTCCTATCATATATCAATAGAGTGCTGTACCAATTGAGATGAAGGGTTAACTTACTACAAACTTCATTAACAACTAAAGACACCACATCTTTCCGGAGTCTATCATATGAAGTTCTAGACAAGAACAAGTATTGGGAAAGTTGTTTTATCTTATGATAAACATGTGGCTACTATTATTTATCCTATTTTCTTCTTGAGTATTTTTCATATTTTCACAGAGTTGCGCTGTGATAAAAATAACAACCTGATTAAACCCGAACATAACTAATTTCTAACACCACTTCATTCGCTTCTAGACAGGTGAAATTAGCTCACCTAATCAGAATCGTAAACCATCTCTTGTCAGCAGACAGACTTCAGTTTTAAGACATATGAACTTAACTTACCATATGAATTTAACTTACTTTCTACTTGTCTCATGTTTCAAGATCTTCAGTCTGTCCTTTTTTTTAGTCTATTTTGTTCACATATGATACCACTACTGGAACTTCTATCAGATCATATGATATACCATCTTAGTCCCACTTCTTGCAAACGTCCATATTCGTATCGATTATCCTTTTCCTGATTTAGGTTCTACACTTTTTTTCGTATTCTGATTCAAACTGTACTCTTACTACTATTTTCTCTGATGTCGCTTGAGCTAATTCAGTTCTTAGATCCCACCCCACCTATCTAAAATCTATCACGATTTCTATACAGCTGATTTAAATTGCAATCAATTCAAGAGTTTGTTCTTTTACTGCATTACTGAATATCCATAGAAATTTTCAAGCATGTTGTTCTTTACCTGACAAAATATCCCATTTACCTAATCTTAGAATATATGTCTGTAGCTTAGTTCTTTATGCGCCTCCTTATCCTGAATTACACTATTTCTTAAGTCATCCTTAGTTTATCACTTCCTAACTTCATCACATCAACATCATCTTCTATGACATTATTTTTTTATTATATTTTGTAATCACATACTGGATTCTGATCTATATGACTATCAATTTTTTTGCTCCTTCTGGCACAGTGAAAGACTCAGTTTAAAGGTCAAACATCGTTCACTATTAGACGACCTCAAATATGAGTAGTCCATAGAATATTAAACCCCGAATACGTTAATAAACAAACAAAAACGTTCTAGTCGTCTGTGATAAAGAATTTATTGGGAAATCAATTCTTGATTTGTATCGTTTATTGTGCATCATTATTTTTTATTTTATCGTAATATGATAAAAATTCTCTTGAAACTGTTTCATTGATTCCACATGTGTTGTGTCAAATTACTGTAATCTATTTTATTAATATTAAATTTTAAACGCTAAAAATTATTTAACTTCTCACTCTTTGAACATACATAACCGTTGATAAACAAGCTTTATATAAAATAACAAATAGTTGTTTTCTTCAACATATTTAATGTTGACAGCACAGAAAACCTGCTTACTGGTGATCGTGTGTGTTTACATTTGTAATAATGATCATAAGTTTCTGAAGACATCAACTTTTAGACTTACATGTTGTTCCAGCCTACTTTTCAATGAAAAAGTGGGAATTTAATTTCTTGATATCTATGTATTTCCCGATAGCTAAAGCCACAACTATCAAGACAATATTTGGTTTTGCTTCTTACATTTCGATGTGTGATCAAATTGTAAATGGAAATGTATCCAGCGTTCTTCTCCAGAAAGACAGGAGTTTTATGAGATTAATGAAGCTCTCTGATAGCTATAATATAATTATCATAACAGACATTGTTTTTCTGTGTAGTAGCACATGTGTTCAAAACTTCATGAAAATGAGGCTAGCCAACTATTTAGCATCAAAATAAAGAATAATGAATTATCGACCTTTGGAGCATTCAGATGTTACAGCTGAACGATATTTTGTTTTCTTACTTCCAAGTGTACTGAGGTTTTCATATTAAGTTGAAATCACTTTCAGGCTATAAAGTAAGACAGTGATTTTGTGATATTCAGATCAATGAGAAATCAAGAACATTACTTGGTTATTTGGTAGGTGGGGTGATATACAGGGCACTAAAATACCTCAACAAACAGACATTAGTGTGTTGTGAAAAATCCTGCTTGAATATATACTTACATATATTCACACTAATAAAAACATTTTTCTTGTAATAATTATACAAGTAACCAACCTCACAGAATATCTGTCCAGCCCAACTTTGGTCGAAGTTACCTAGGATGATTCTTACATCTTTTTCCTGTCAAATAACATAAATATAGTTACACTCTGTGCGCGATATTTATTAGCATTGTTAAAAGTCAGTTTTATTGAAAAAAATAGACACTAATAAAATACTAAGAAGAATAAAGTATGTTACTTAAACCAAGCTAAATTCATGTAGTTTTCTTCCTATTGTCGCTCAAAAATACGTTAGATATTTGGCGATTAGTTTCAAAATTAACATTTTGCATAGTACGTACTTCATAAAGTACACGTTAAATTAGTTTTATTTTTTACTGAAACCTCACCTAACTTTATGTTACACATTCTTCTGTATTTTAATAAATAAATTTTTACGTATAACTTTCAAAACACATTTAATTATTTCCCTAATACAACAGGAACATAAGCATATAAAAATCTAAACTTGGAAAATATTAGTGTAATTGGTAGACTGGTAAGTAGGATTCTTATGTATAAATCAAGGTTTTCTTCTTCTTTAACAAAAAGTTTAGAAAATAATTTATTTTTAAACATTTCGTAGTAGAGCTGTTTCAAATGGTGTGAAGGATTTACTATTATATATCTATTTTAATATCGATGTCTGTTTAAGTTAAATTTATATTTAGAAATGTACATAACTCATACTGTTAAATCTATATTGCGAAATTCTTGCCTATTCACTAAAATTGTAGAAATTTTTCGAGTGTAAGAACCAACAATATATGTGTATAGGTAAACATTGGTGTATCGTTTATATTATTGCGTAAGCTGAAGTTTCCAGAAACTTTCCTCACGCCTATAAATACAACCAACGCCACGCGCCAAAAGACAGTATATGTTACTGGTTTGCTATAGTTAGTGTGCTATAAACCTCTGAAGCTATAACTGTAATTGATACAACGCTTATTGATCTGGAACTTCAGATATTTGACTAGGAACATTTATAGATTTCGGATATTACAAACCATTTAACTTCAGTGGATTCACATTGGACATTAGTATTTTTTACGAAAACATTATATAACTTCAGTGGTGAATAACTCGGCGTGCGAACCGGCGAAGAAAGAAGAACACAGAACTAGCTACTTCCCTGTTTAAGTGAATTGTATCTACAACTACTCAAAATTAATTCGCTCATCGTGAATCCTCGATAAGATATCAAGAAAGTTCTAGACCAGATAGAGGACTCAGTATTGTTTGTAAGTTTATAAAACTTTTGTACATAGATCATTATTTGTAATAACCGTTATTGTAAATTGTGTTATTGTTTGTATATTAAAATATATTTCTATTAAAAAACTGTGTGTATCAATCTTGTTTGCAAGTATCATAAATTGGGTACATATCGACATTTATTTAATTTCTAAATCTAAATTATCATTTAGCTCAGTTTCAGTCTATTCGAAATTATAATACGTTACGTAATAAATGGGAAACTCGTCCGTTGTACGCAACAATAGAAAAAACAGCAATGGCAAAGTTACATTTAAAAAAAAGTTTAAACTTTCCTGATTTTAGGATATGTAAGATTTATCACATTTACTAGAGAACAGTTCAACAGAAGGAGAAGATATAATAATTATAGACTGTTTATATTTGTTCATTAAAGTTATTAAAAAATTCCGTTACGTCTTTACAAACAATAAACGTATGAAAGAAAGTAAAAAAAATCCCCAGTTCATTTCTTTTTTCTTAAAAAATCCAAACAAAAAAAAATTCGTTAGACTTGTTCGTTTTTCCTTGTTACATGAACCAGTTATAAGGGAAAACAACAACAACAACAACAATGAAATAGAAAGAAGTTGAAATCTAGAAAAAAAATAAGATTGGATAATGTAGTCCTTGGAGCAAACGTCAAGAACTGTGTACAGAAATAACTTATTTCAACACAATTCAACAACCATAAGAAGTGGTTATTCTAATAACACATCTAAAACTTATAAGGCTGTTTGTTTGTTTTGAATTTCGCGTAAAGCTACACGAGAGTTATCTGCGCTAGCCGTCCCTAATTTAGCAGTGTAAGTCTAGAGGGAAGGCAGCTAGTCATCACCACTCACCGCCAACTCTTGGGCTACTATTTTACCAACGAATAGTGGGATTGATCGTCACATTATAACGCTCCCACGGCTGAAAGGGCGTGCATGTTTGGTGGGACGGGGATTCGAACCCGCGACTCGCAGATTGCGAGTCTAGCTCCCTGGCCATGCCGGGCCTAACTTATAAGACTATCACTATACAGAACAAGCAATTACGTTTATAAACAGATGTTATACGTATAGATAAACGTATAAACGCATTTCCTATTTCAACGTAGGACTGCTAGAAAAGTTAAAGATAGGCAACTTCTCGGCCTTTCTTAAATTTTATTACATATTAATATAATAGTTATAAAACTACACGCCAAAAATATATTCTTAGTTACTTCTATATTTCAGCTTTTATTATATTTAATTTTCATAGCGTACTTCCGTTTGGCTAGAAAGAAGAACACTGGAATTAGAAGTAAATATAAGAACATTTTGCAATTTATCAACCAATGATTTAGATAAAAAAGTTTTTGCGCTAATTTAATGATATAATATATAAATGCATAAGTGATGAAAATTCATATTATACTATTAATGTATGAGTATTCTTTTGCCAATTGAGTTATACATATTTTTCATTTAACTTTTTCTTTCTTGAGCAACAAATCGATCTAATTGTTTTAAATAGTTTTCTCACTCTGGTCTCGTTTGTTTGTTTTTGAATTTCGCGCAAAGCTACACGAAGGCTATCTGCGCTAGCCGTCCCTAATTTTGCAGTGTAAGACTAGAGAGAAGGCAGCTAGTCATCACCACCCACCGCCAACTCTTGGGCTACTCTTTTACCAACGAATAGTGGGATTGACCATCACATTATAACGCCCCCACGGCTGAAAGGGCGAGCATGTTTGGTGGGACGGGGATTTCAACCCGCGACCCACAGATTGCGAGTCGAGTACCTTAACCACCTGGCCATGCCGGGCCCACTCTGGTCTCACTTTGAAGTAAACCACACAGTTCGAGAATGGGCGTAGGTCCAATGATCAACGTGCCGGAATATGATTTGTTTGCTATGTTTTACCACAAAACACGATTTGCACTTTGATGCTGTTAGTGTAATATAAGAATGACATTCAAGTCCCATTATTCAATTAGAGTAACTTGAAGGTTGACAGTGGGAACTGTTGTCTAGCTGCTTTCTTTGTAAACTATCAGTTTAAAATTAGGGAGAGTTAGCGCAGATGGTAATTTACGTAGTTTTGTGTGAATTTCTAAAACACACACACAAAGAACTTAAAGTGCACCTAATTGTTCGTAAAATATGGCTAAGGTTTAGAAGAGACTCTTATATTTTATTCATGTAGAAAGCCATTGGACGAATAGAAGTAGACTAATCAAACCAGGCTTTTGTGAAGTTTTGTACATGTGTCTCAAAGTGGCAGAATATGAAACCGTTTCTAAACTAGAGATACTGTTATTTGAATGAGTGAGCAAAATAGACCATTACAGTTGTTCGGACGAGTGGACAAGGCAGACTATTATAGTAGCTTGGACAAGTGTACAAGGGAGACCATTCATTCATTCATAATAGAAGCAGAAGTCTGCCATTTGCCAGTTTTGGCTCGACGGGATTGCAGGGTCGATCTAAGACTGAATAAGATGTTCATAACCACGCGGACGGTTAGAAACAAATTTCACAATCTGTATGCTAGATACCTAAAGAAGGTGTTTTCCTCTTACAAGAAAGCTTCCCTACAATAATGTCCAGAAGGTCAACATTATGAGAAGCATTTTTCTTCTTACAGACGAATCGCGTTTCACTTTCCATATCAAACACTAGCTTTTTCTTGTCGTAGTTGCATTATTATAAATTAATATTACTTTTAAACTGTTTTGTGCAATGTATACAGGTATAGTAATACATACATCTTTTACTTTCTATTTCCAGAATTTCGCTGCTTTTATGGTATCAGTGAACTTTCCTCGATATCAACTGGAACAGACTTATCTGACCCTTATAATTAATAATAGCGTTATTATAAAAAAATTAAGTATTAAATTTAAACCTCTAAGAACACAATCTTATTGAATCTAGATACAAAAAAATATCATAATGGTTTAAGAATATTCTATCTCTTTCAAACCGTAATCGCATTTAGTCTTTTAACTGTATTGATTTTAATGTGAAAAGTAGATCTGAAGAGTAATGAAAGAGCATAGAATTTTAAAAATTGAAAGTCAGGATAAAACAAACTATTGCATGAAATACAATATCCACAGGAAGTGAAATTTGATTTGTCAATTTACTACTATATTGCTATTATATATATATATATATATATGTGTGTATGTGTGTGTAACTTACTGATGCTGGAAAGTAACATCACCTTAATTATTTCTGTTTGAAAAGACTTCATGAACTGATAATACTGAATAACTATTAAACTTCTAAAAAGTTTGTGTCATCAAAATACTTCGAAGTGGGTTTCTAAACTGTGTTAGCCTAGCCGTTTATATTGCTGTCTGATAGTACTTACTTTTAACTTGAGTATAGCTGACGTCAGTTCATCGACGAATCCGTGTTGTGCAGCAATATCTATTTTGGCTGTCTCTAGAGCTGTTAACAGCTTACTGTGAGGCTAAACGGGCAACAAATATAGCGAATATTAATATCAACAAAATGTATAAAGAACCTAAAGTCTTCTTGTAGACCAGCAGTATCCTATAATAAAAAGTAGAACTAATATTGGAATATATCTATCTGGATGTCTCTAAATGTTTGTCTGTCTACTCGTAATATTCTAAAGCACGCAGGATAAAAAGAAAAACTTTAACACCAGAAAAATAAAAAAAATCAAATAACACGAGCGCTTTGAGGAAGTGGATCTTGGATGAAGGAAAGTCCTCTTTCTGTAAACGTTCGAGTTATTGAATATATTTTCTGGTTAAGGAAGTGGATCTTGGATGAAGGAAAGTCCTCTTTCTGTAAACGTTCGAGTTATTGATTATCTTTTCTGGTTAAGGAAGTGGATCTTGGATGAAGGAAAGTCCTCTTTCTGTGAACGTTCGAGTTATTGATTATCTTTTCTGGTTGAGGAAGTGGATCTTGGATGAAGGAAAGTCCTCTTTCTGTAAACGTTCGAGTTATTGATTATATTTTCTGGTATTCGTCTATTTATATATTTTGTTTAATGATCGTTCTATCGTGTAGTTCTTTGCACAAACATTGCACAGTAACGTTCATAAAAAGGCAGAAAAAACCCTAAAAATCCAATATGTGCTTATTGCAATACACAGTAATATTTATTAAAATACTACGATATGTTATATGGAATTTGAAACGTACACCTGAAAACGCGTCTTGTAGGCTTTATTGGAAAATTGCTATTCACCTCTGTTGGAATAGGGAATATATTTTCATATAACTTTGTGAATAAGGTGAAGTAAATTCTGCTCAGCACCTCTGAAAAGCACCTATATAGCTCTATTAAGAAGGTGGGGTGCATATCACGAGGCGTAGTTAAAAAGGTGGAGAAGATTTCGTGTAACTCCATTCAGAAGATGTTGCCTGATGAAGTTTACTGCAATGTAGCAGAAAGTTCCTAGATTTTCATCTTTTTTAATCGTGCAGAATACCTGATTCAGTTTTTCTAATAAAGGTCCCAAAAGAATAATATATATATCATAATGTTCTAACCTATAGCACCCATTCGAAAAATATCGAAGTTAATAACAACTATCACAAATCAGTAAATATTAAACACATTGAAAGACTTACCAGAGCATATCGTGGTGAATTCTGATAAAGGGTTCCAACCCGTGTCCAGTTGAAGTACTGTAACAAAGCAACTCTTGCTGGGTTGAAAGCTGCCTCACTGGGGACTACACGAAAAAGGTTCGGGTAATTTTCCATTCTGTACATCGGATGCGTGTCTGCATAAGTTAACTGTTAGAAGATAAACGGAAAATACACTACTTACCGAAAATATCATCCAAATATAGTGCAAACATTATTCCGTACAGATTCATAATTTAACATAACTTCATTACCATAAAAGTAATATCGCATAATTTATTTTGCTCAATTTTAGAATATTATATATATATATATATTACTGATTTGTTGTTTACAGCGCATATCAACACAATGGACTATATGCGCTCTGTCTACTGCGAGGAATTGAGCCCGGAATTTTAGCGTTGTTAGTCCACAAAACTACTGCTGACCCACTAAGGGATTTACATATGTATTATATACTGCAAGAACAAAAATCGTGCATATGGTTTATTAATAAAGATATACAGATAATATACTTCACGGTTTCACAATATTCTGATGTTAAAATTGTTATTACATATAATTATATCGTGATACAGACTGTCTAAGAAGTGGATAATACATTATAATCTATGTCGAAAATTATTTTATCCAGGCAATAATCTACTCACTAACTACACCTTTGGAAAACTAAAGCTTTTGCAGAAATTATAAGGGAATGTTTCGGTGTAGAAATAGAAATGGAATTTAGAACCAGAACAACATCTTATAGGTACGGTTAAAAGGCCAGGTCAGAGGTCCCTAGAGTTCAGGTATAGCCATACCTAATTTAAACTACTGACTAGAAGGTGGAATCAGTCAGCTGCACCCACTATTACAAAGGTTTTCTCCAGCTTTGAACCGAATAATGGAACTTATTCCATTACTGAAAGTATGAAGTGTGTTCAACGACATTACATCACGAACTTTGAACCTTTCAATCCATGGTTCGATATACTAACCGTTAGACCATGCCAGGCTGTGATCTTTGTAAAAACAAAATGAGTCTATTTGTAACTAAGACGAGGAATTATGGGATTTAAAGGTTATGTTATATTTTATATCACTTATATTTATATAAGTATTATTGTTACTCCAAAAATATTCTTTTTTATATCTTAAATGCAGTGGTTGTAAGGATCAATATGCTGGAGACACAAATTATCTTTATCTTAGCCTACGAGAATTTCGTGTTAAACATCCTGGTCTAAGTGTAGTCCCGAAAACTATTATTCTTGTGTTTTCATTTTGAAGTATTTCAAATAAAAATAGAATATCACTTTTAAGCAATATTTTGTTAAAAATAATTCATGCTTCTATAATTATGACTCGATCAGCACAAAGATTGTTTTTGGATAACTTAGTAAATGAATTTTATTTTACGCCAATATTGAGTTTACGAAGATGGCTTGAAGCTCCACATTGAGCTTTATGTCATCAGTATATTATCAGTAAGTTACCTACCTTTACATTTAATAAACAATAAAGCTTTTGAGAGGCCAAGTGGCTGTTCTTACTACTGAGAAGGGTTTACATAAGACGCAAAAATACAATAAAGTGTTGGAATTATTCTTTAGTTTATTCTGTTAAGTGTTAGAATAATTCTTTAGTTTATTCTGTAAAGTGTTGGAATAATTCTTTAGTTTATTCTGTAAAGTGTTAGAATAATTCTTTAGTTTATTTCGTAAAGTGTTGGAATTATTCTTTAGTTTATTCTGTTCAAGACTGGTAGAACTTTTGCTTCGTAAATTCTCCTCTTGTTTTTGTTTTTAATTTCGCGCAAAGCTACACGAAGGCTATCTGCGCTAGCCGTCCCTAATTTAGCAGTGAAAGACTAGATGGAAGGCAGCTAGTCATCATAATCCAACGTCAACCTTGGACTACTCTTTTACCAACGAATAGTGGGATTGACCATCACGCTATATCGCCCCCACGGCTGAAAGAGCGAGCATGTTTGGTGGGACGAGGATTCGAATCCGCGACTCTCAGATTGCGAGCCAAGTGCCCTAACCACCCGGCCATGCAGAGACAAAATAGTTCTCTTCAGCAAATACAGTTTTTAACTAAAGAGTCACTCATCAGAGCGCATACCTCCGCCATGCAGCGTTGATCATACTCGAACCTTAACAAATAGAAAAATGTATTCATATGTCCGTTGATGACAACGGACACAAACAAATTTTGACACGGCAATGAGGAATAATATTCTACTTATATTCACCAAGTTTCATCAAAATCCGATAATTTTTGACTGAGTTATAGAGCAAAAATATTCCGAAAAATTGGTCCCGATTTTGATAGATAGGGATTTTTCTCGTGACCTTGATGATACCTTACCCTTTGATGGCGGAGGTAACTATCACAACTTGATATGAAGTCTTAACATCCTTTATATTCCCTTGTGCGCCACGAAAATATGTAATTACAACAGGATAGTTAACTATATATATATATAATATACACGTATATATATATGTGTGTGTGTGAATTGACAATTGAATAATTTCAAATTCTCTCCTGGAGAATCTTATAATTATAAGTCCATGTTTATGATAAATGTACTGAAGTAGGAGCATAGAACAATCTAAACTTAGCTTTGAAAACTCTTCCCACCAAATGGCTTTATTTATTTGTTTTTTTTGTTTGTGATTAAGCATAAAGCTGCACAATATGCTACCTGTGCTGTGTCTACTGCGAGTATCGAAACCCATTTTTAGCCTTATAAACCCGCAGACTTACCGTTGAGCTACCGAGGGCGCTTTTATATTTAGAATGCTGTCACAGGGCCAGACGAAAAGGAAAAATTTGTATCAAAGTAATCATCATTAAGATATTGCACAGATAATATTAATATTTTTTTCTTAGTATCTTCTTGTGGGTTTTATAGCGAAATTTAGTGAAATTCTATTAAAACATTTTAAAAGTTACTGATAAAAGAGAATGAGATTTTGAACAACATTTTCAAGCAATTCGTGATTTTAAAATGAAATAACTTTTCTTTGTTTAAATTAAGATATTCATAAGTTTTGGTACTACTTTGAAGCATGAATACAGCAAGAGAAAACAAGCACTGATAATAGAAATTACTGAAAAGTATATTGGTTAAGCAAAAATAGTATAACAGTTTAAAACGTTCCTTTTCATGAAAAAATTACGAACGAGATTAATAGTGGTGTTTAACATTCAGTATAAGTTGAAACCGTGAACGTATTACAACGTGCACACGATTTGTTTTAGAAAATGAAGGCAGGGTGATTCGACCGCTGCTTGTGGAAATGGTGATTTATATATTAATGTTAATATATTTTTAATGGTAACAAATACCAGTGTCTGACACACGAGGCTAACTACTCAACGCTTTCGTTGTAGATCGGTGCCTACACAGAATATTTGATCAAACACATCTGTGTACTTAATTTGCAAATATTGATGTCGTTAGAACCATATTGCTTTAATCTGCTTATATGCTTTTAGTCTTTTCAGGCGCTAAATAATAAATAAAGTATTGCAGTCAGCAGTTTGAAAACTAAGAGATTACTCGAGCTTAAATGGAGTTCAAATAGGTTTATATTCTTTTTGAGCTTTAGGGTCCTTGTGAAAAATAATAAAACCATTTACGAATTCTGTCAGACGAGAAACAAAAACGCTTGTTTTTGTCAAGTATTAGAACAGCAAAGTAAAACAGAAAGCATAAACTATCCAGCACTTGCTCCCCAGTGACACAGCGGTAAGTCTAACGGCTTATAAAGCTAAAAACCGAGTTTTGATACTCGAGTGGACACAGCACAGATATCCCATTGCGAAGTTTTGTGCTTAACTTCATAGCTTCAGGAGTTGACGGCCATAATCCTCAATATTATCTCATTATTTAAGTCACACGAGTAGCGTAGTAATACCTTACGCATTTCGATAACTTTCAAAAAACAAATAAAATAATTCTGAATTAAACACGAGATGCTAGAAAGGCATAGTTGAAACAACTAACTAATCAATCGATCTCTTATGTTCGTATTTCCTTTTGCTAAGGTGGCAGGTGTGCATCTAAAATAGTAGCTAAATTCTTTTTTTTTCATATTTATGAGTTTCATAGTAAAACCCATAAATCTAGTTGGACAGAAAAATCATTGAATAAAAGTATTGAGTGCTAACGCAAGGTATTCAAAGTGGTGTTGCTGTGACTTTATGTTAAATCCAAGAATGATATCGATACATGTTATCTATTAATGTTTGTTTCGATTTCATTATATTTCTCAGAATTCCAACTCCCGTATAATTTTATATCTTTCAGAGTCTTATAAAATCAGCTTCAAAATGAAGAGTACTTAAGCTTGCATGACTATTTTGTATGCATATACGTGTAAAACAAAAAAAAAACGTTCGTTGTTGTAAAACAATATGTCACACACCCGATTGTTTATTCTTTATTTGCAATTAGGCACACAGCTATAAAATGGGCTATCTGTGCTCTGCCTGCCACGGGTATCGAAACCCGGATTCTAGCGTTATAAGTCTGCAGACATATCGCTTTGCCACTGGGGACAACACACCCGATTTATAAAACCAAGAGTGTAGATTTTTTTATGTGAATATTTGTGTATTTATTACATATGTTTTTCTATAAATTTGAGATCGCTCGAGTCGCAATCTGCGGGTTCGAATCCCATCACGGAACATGTTCGTCCTTTCAGCCGTGGGGGCGTTATAATGTGATGGTCAATCTCATTATTCGATTAAAGTAGCCCAAGTGTTGGTGGTGGATGATATTGACTATATGCCTTTCCTCTGAACTACCACTTCTAAATTAGGGACAACTGTTGTGGCGAAATTCAACAAACACATAAACTTTATTAGTGATATGTAAAATCATGTTTAAACAGTTATTTTCAGAAATATTGTGAGTGGGTTCATATCACAGTAAGAAATAATACATTCATAGTTAACGTTATTTGTAGGATTGTGACCAACGAGGCTCGCTGTTAGTAGGGAAATTAAAAAAAAATTGTTAATCAATTACATTTCAAAACGATTTTGGGATTTCAATTCTAATCCGATTTGTCAATGTTTTTCAGTTACTAGTTTCTTCATAGTAACACCATACTTACTTCTGCCATATAGACTTCACAGGAGTT